CCAGAGGCCAAGGCTGAGGCCCTGCTGGCTTCATGGGCCAGCAGCCTGTGCGGTTGCAGGGGGCCCACGCTGAGAAGGGCCTTGGTGGGTTAATGCCCTGCTGAGGGCATCTCGGTGGGCACGGGTGCGAGAGAGGGAGAGGCACAGTGTGCTGCCCCTGTTCTGTGCTGCCTTATTTATTTGTGTTCAGGATGCCCCATGAGCACAGAATCCCATTTAAAACTGTAAGTGATAGAAAGCAGAAAGTGAACAGCAAACAGTGAATTCACGATCAGTGACATGGTCTTCGATTAATTTTTTTTCAACTGGATAAATAACTTTTCATTTACATTAAAGTTTGGCTGACAAAAATGTTTCAAAACATGAGGTCAGTGTTAAAAAATAAAGAATCCCTAAGTCAGGACAAGCTGAGAGCCACTGCTGATTACTCCCTCTACCATCAAAGAGGAGCAGGGAACTACTTCAAACCGACCGGAGCCAGCAGGGCAATTTCCCTCACCAGTTCCTGAACCCCTGTAACTGCCTCAGTTCTTGAGTTCAGGCATTTTAGAGTAAAGCTCCCTAAGCCTTGAAGAAGGGCCATACGCATATCCAGGGGCAGTGAAAGCAGGAGGGAGAAGTTGTTCACATACAGTTGCATTCCTCCCCTAAGCTGTGCACTGGAAGGCACCCCAAAAAGAAAAGGGGTGCCTGGCTGGCTTGGGGGCAGAACCAGCAGGAGACCATGCACCCCTGACCACCTGTGTTTAGACACAATTGCACAGCGGTTACCACCATAAGCCCTTCTCCAAACTGTTCACTGTCGTCATCAGAAGCTTCGGTGCTCCATGCCCTCGACTAAGTTGCGCTTTGTAGGCCTAACTCAGGCTTCTGTACACCAGGCTAGGAGTCATGGATCATTTCCTCTGTTTACAGGATGAGGAACTGGGGCTCAGTGAGGTCACACGGGAGGAAGGGGCAGAGCAGGGCTCCAGGCTGGGCTGCGTGCCCTGGGCTGGCACTTGTTTTCCTCGCCGTCTCTGAGCGCCAGCCGTGTTCCCATCTCTTCCTGGGAGTGAGTTTAATCTCCCAACAATAGGTGCTCGAGGTCAGGGACCGGGTCCTTATGTATTTTTGAGGCCTGAAGAGTCAGGCTCTTAGCAGGCAAGTGGTGACTCCATGTAGATGAATACCCCTGCCCAGGTCTGCTCTGGGGTGTGTTGTCTTGTAAGTATAAGCGTCAGCCAGAGCAGGGACATGTACAAGCAGTAGAGTCAGGGTCCAAAGGAGTGAACGAGATTCTGATCTGTACCCGTCTCTTCTCTGCACTTCTCTCCAAAGGCCCCTCCTCACCAACCACCTAAACAACCCAGCCAGACCTCCTTCCCGCCCGTGGGCATACTGCTAATATAGGCATCATGTAACTAATAAATAATGTGCTGTGCCATATAACTCTACATTATAGTATACATGGGATATACTAACTCCCGTGGGTTTAGTAAAGGTGGCGGTAAGTGCATATTGTGCCCCAAACCCGGGTACAGTGCTGGACACAGGAGCCGCACTGCCGCCTGTAAATGTATTTATAGGAAGAGACACATGACAGATGTTTCACATGGAGCTGACGTGGCTGCTGTAAATGTGGGTCAGGGCGAGCCGTTGCGCTGCTGCCCTCAGAAATCGCTCAGAGTGGAGGGCTCCTCTCCACTGCCAACTATTCAAGAAAAATGATGCCAAGTGGACACCTCCTGGGCAGGAGGCACATCCAGGCAGTTTGCCTGGGAACACACCCAAGGGCGGGCGATGACAGACATCAGCCGGCATAGGCAGCCCCGGTCCATCCGCGTGGGGCTTAGCCACGTTGTGGATATTCAGGGTGTCCTCTCGGTCTAGTGCTTGTCTCACACAGGCTCCAGAGTTTCCCACATACCCCTCACTGCTGTGCTGTGTGCAAAATAATTTTCATATTAACCTTGACCAAAAATCCAGGGAATTCCGCCAGTTAAAAAAAACCACCCATACGATGAATTCCGTGGCTGAGCAGAAATGGTCTGTGGGATAACCACGTCCAGTCTGAATCGCTGCCTTTGGTCCTCCTCGAGGGCCCCGTGTGCATTACTATTATTTCAACTTGGCGTTGAAAAGGCCCCTATGAGTCTTCTGATACAACGGTTTTCTAGTTTATAGTGGGAGGGTGCTTTCGTCAAAGGAAATCCTACCTGGAAGTCAACCCACAATTCAGATGAACCCTGAGCAGTTGGTGCCCCCAGGGCGGGGCCTATGGGGCTTGCTCCTTCCTCAGAAGCGCCTAACAGGGGTGGGCAAACTTTTTGACTCGAGGGCCACAATGGGTTCTTAAACTGGACCGGAGGGCCGGAACAAAAGCATGGATGGAGTGTTTGTGTGAACTAATATAAATTCAAAGTAAACATCATTACATAAAAGGGTACGGTCTTTTTTTTTTTTTTTAATTTTATTCATTTCAAACGGCCGGATCCGGCCCGCAGGCCGTAGTTTGCCCACGGCTGGTAGGAGCACAATTTGCAAACCATGCAGCCATTCCCCCATACTAAGTTATTCCCTCACTTGCTAACCCAACCTTTCTCGAGTGCCTACTGTGTGCTGGGTGCTGGTGAGCCAGCAGGTAACAGGAGAGGGAGGGCCTCTCTGCAGAAGCGCACAGTGCGGTGTGATGGGCAGACAGGAGTTCAGATGGTGGTAAGTGCTGCGAAGCAAGTAGATCAGGCGCTGTGACTGGGCCAGGAGGTGGCTGCTTCAGACTGGGGATCAGGAATGGCTCTCGGGGGATGTGAGACATGAGCTGAGAACAGAAGGACGACCTGGAAGGAGGGCCTGATTCTGACCAGTGGGGAAGCGGCCTCAAAGAGGCGAGTGACTTTCCCAGGTCACACGCGGGGAGGAGGCCGAGCTGGGACTTGACCCCGGGTCTCCCGGCTTCCTGCCAGGGCTCTTTCCTTTCACAATGTTTACCAAATAGCTGCTGCACTCAAAGAAGTCGAGGTGACTGGTGACATCCAAGGGCTGACCAACCCCAACCACATCCTGGTGTTTGGGGCTGTCTGTCATGACTCTTGACCCCCTCCCTGTTACAGCTGGGGGTCTGTAACCCAGAAGACAGCGCCCTGCAGCTGTCCTCCCTGACCCCTGCCTGGCTGGGAAAGTGTCCTCTCCTGTCCCTCTGGCTGCAAACTGGGAAATGCTCCTGCTGCTTCCATTGCTGGCAGATGGTACAAGCGAGACGGAGGGTCCAAAGCCTCCCACTCACCGGGAGGAAGGGTGCCTGGAAGTCATGCTGCTCCAGGGCTCTGACTCCAAGGCCACCCACTCCAGGGTGGGCCTGCGCTGCGGGGACATCCACCCAAACCACCGCACCACCGGCCGCACAGGTGTCACAGTCAGAGTGCTGCGAGGCAGACAGCCCTGTGCCGCTGAATATCACAGGGAGCAGCATGCAAATGGCGCCCTCTTTGACCCACAAACCAAACAGCTCCAGGCCCCCAAGTGTTGCCCACACCTCCCAGGTGGCACCTGTGGGCCCAGCATTCGCCCTTTGCCCTGAGAGCCTTCCTGCTGTCAGAGCACTTCCCAGGCATCAGCTAACTGGCGCCTCATGAGGTAGGAAGGGCAGTGGATACTAGTTTTGCACACGAAGCCGAAGCCACAGAACCCCAGAGTGAGCTGTGCAGGGAACACTGCACTGACCAAGTAACAACCACTGACTTCTGATTCAGACCCAGGTCTCCAGACTCCACCTGCAGATTCTTTCCACCAGAACCCAGCTGCCCACGAGGTAAACACAGACCATCCGCTGGCCTAACACCACCTTTGTTCTCTTTACGCTCTGCCCCAGAGTATGCACAGGGGCTTTTCCAGAGCTGCCTCTCCTCTCCAGCCACGCCTGCCTCACCACGTGCCACCCTGCCGGAGGCTCTGGGGCACCTACTTCTGCACTTGGCCACTCTGACCCAGCAGAGATGCTCTTCTGTCCAACCCAGCTGAGCCCTCCTCCCTTTTATATTCTCCAGCCTATTTATGCATGTGAACACTGCACATATCACGTGAAAACAACGGTTCTCAACCTGTGGGTCACAACCTGTGGGTCGCGACCCCTTTGGGGGTCGAACGACCCTTTCACAGGGGTCGCCTAAGACCATCGGAAAACACATATATAATTACATATTGTTTTTGTGATTAATCACTATGCTTTAATTATGTTCAATTTGTAACAATGAAATTGGGGGTCACCACAACATGAGGAACTGTATTAAAGGGTCGTGGCATTAGGAAGGTTGAGAACCACTGCTCTAGAACCTTCCACACCTTCCTTCTTTCCATACCAAACTAATCAACTACCCAGGCAGGCAAACATAGGCGACAGGGTCTGCTGCACCATGTTCCCCAGTACATCTCTGCGCCCATGGGACGGTGCACAGCCTGCACGGGCAGGCAGATGCTGAGAACAGTCCTGAACACACAGGAGGCGCAACAGCTGCTGACATGAACCCTGCTCTGCATGGGGGACAGAGCCAAGGACTGTGAAATTTTAGTTAGGATCACGCTGGACCTGTCACCTCATGCTTACGAGTCAGCGACTGGAATTCAGGGTGGACAAAGAGAATGGCAATTTGAAGAGGAGCAGCCATGCACTGAGCAAGCTGGCAGCACAGGGCACTGACGGGCCCAGAGCCTCTCCCAAGACCCGCGTGAAGGAATCAGGAGCACAGTTTTGGGCACAAAGGCTGGGACCCTGTACGGACACCAGTGCTTACACACATCCATCCTGAATGTCCCAGGATTCCTGCCCGACTCCTAACCAGAAGTCAGCTAGCCCTTGCCCACCAAGGCCCTCTGCGGTCCAGCTCTGGGGGTAGAGGGAGAGCGGGGGACAAGACAGAGAAAGTGGGCGCTTCCTCCCCGCGACCTGCAGGCCTCCCGGGGACGCCCTCCTCCCGTGCGCCCCAGCCCAGCGGGCCCTCCGGAGCCCGGCGCACTGCACTTACCGGCCATGGGGCACAGGGCTCGGTTCGCAGCCAGGGGAGTGGAGCCTGGAGGTGGAGTGGAGGCTCGGAGGGCCGCCCCTTGCCCGCCCGCCGCGCTCCTGACTTCCCACCCGGAGAGGGTCTGGGTGAAGGCGGTGCGCTCCCTTGGCCCTTCCTGCCGCCCGCGCCTCTCTGCCCGCCCTGCCCCGCCCCGCTTCCCGGCGCCCACCCTCCCCTCCGCGCCCCCTCTGTTCCCAGGCTCGCTCTCTCCCAGCGCCGCGGGCTGGGCTCCCCAGAAGCCCTGTGCGGCAGCGTCTTTGTTTGGGACTTGGCCTTTCTTCAATTCACAGCACACAGAGCGAATTCAGTTGGAGTTCGGGGCGGCTGTGCGGTTGCCTGGGGGATTCTTGTTAGGAGGTGTTGGGGTGGACTGGGGTCCCGCGGCTTCCAGATGCCCGTCTGCCCTTAGCCCCCTCCGCGCCCCAGGCTTCTCTCTGGCCTTGCTGCCCCCGAGGTCGGCCCTGGTGGAGCAGGAAATGAGCAGGGTCCTGGGGGAAGCTGGCCGCGAGGGCTCCCGACTCTAGGGACTAGCATGTGTGACCGCAAAGGGCCTTCCATCTCCCGCTTCTTCCCCCACAGCCAGCACAGGGAAGACTACCATCACTGCCCTGTCCCTCGGACAGTCCCACTGGCCATCAGCTTCCCATTCCCTGGGCAGGGAGAACCAAGATCTCTTCCTAGACTGGGGGACAAGGAAGGCCAGGCAGAGAGCCCACCTGCCTGTGCCCTGGCCGAGGGCAGGGCAACGCTGCCTGTGACGGGCTCTGACCTATCAGGGGCAGGCATGTGTTATTTCCCAGAGCAACAGACCTGTGCTTATCCAACCATGTCCTTTTGAAACTTGACTGCAGTGAGCAAGGTTACCCATTTACCCAGTTGCTGGGTCAGGGAAGCCAGGGGAGGCAGGGAGAGCTGACAGGCAAGGCATGGGAAACACCAGCCTTCTAAATGCCCAGGCTGACGAGAAAGGATTAGCAGAGGGGACGTAAATTGGGGGTCTTGAAAGGAGATGATTGCAAGTGTCCCTGTGAGAGGAAGACCTGCAGTGGGGCGGGGGGGGGGGTTTCGGCGCGCGGAATATGGAAGGAGCAGCAGAAGGCTGTAGAGGGAGGGTGGAGAGGAGGTCTCAAGGAGGAGGACCGTGGTGGTGGTGTGGGGGTGGGAGTCGGAGGAGGACCTGGAGAGATGTGAAGCTGAGAGAAGATAAGATGGGGGAGAGTGTAGACAAGGGAGAGAGGGCTGGTTTGAGGACAGAACTGTGGTCTGAGCAGGCAAAGCAGCCAATGAAAGGAACTGAGACCATCCAGGAGGGTCAGCGCTATGCAGGGCACCGGGGCTCCAGGGAAGAGGCTGTGTCCAATAGGGACCCACACTGCAGGGATACCAAAGAGCAGGGTCTGTGGGGACTTCTGAGAGAATTATTTTGGTGGCGGGGAGTAGGAGCCGATCGCCCCTCCTTGGGGACATCTGGACATGCGGGGACCCAAAGGCACAGCCCTTCACTCCCGCTCCAGAGGCTCCTGGCGGCCATTACCCCAGTGCCAGTGCTTCCCAAGGAGTTAGCGGAGGCTTCTGTGGACACTGCACCTCAGTTCCAGTCCACTCTCTGCCCAGTCCCATGTCCTCGCCCTCTCACAGGTGTGTTCCCAAGCAGCTCCCAGTAGGCCTCCTGCATGCTGATCCCCACCTCCATTTCCATGCAGAGTCTGTTTCCCAGAAATCCAACCTGAGCTACTCGGTCACTGAGAAAGGGAGAGTGAAAGAAAGAAAAGGTGGCATGGTTACTAGACTTGCTGTGGTGATCGCTCTGTAAGGTCTATAAATATGGAATCACTATGTTGTACACCTAAAACTAATGTAATATCGTATGTGGACTATAATGAAAAACAATTTTTAAAAAGAACATAAAGAAAAAAGAAAAGAATAGGTAGATGGTGATAAACGGCATGAACAGCCACACGAGCGTTACGGAGACCAGACAGGAGAGAGGCCTGCGCAAGCACAGAACATAGCCTTGCCCTCTGACCTTCCTACAAGACCTCTAATGAAGCAGACCCCCAATGCAGACCCTGACCTCTCATTAAGCAGTTTTAAGAGACAGAGATTGTCAGAAAAAGCGAGGTGGTGTTAAAGGAAAAGACAGAAATGGGGAGCGAGAGGAGAGCTATTCATAGTAGAATATGATTGCTATAGTCCTGTGAAGGGGAGACCGTAGGTTTGCAGAAGACAGTAGGAGAGAGAAGGGTGGGGCAGGCCTTCGGAGGGAGAAGAATGCTGTAGGTGGGGAAGGCTGAGGGGGAGTGAGTGTTCACTAAAGTTAGTAATATTAAAGCAGGAATTAGGGAAGAGAGGGTTGGAAAATGTTCTGAAGGACCTTATGCAGTATGAGAGGGCAAGTAAGAATTGAACCTGTGGACCAGGATGTCCTGTCTCCAGCACTGTCCCTACTAACATTAAACATCTAGAATGGTGAATCAATAGAAATATAGTTTGTAATTAAAAATTTCCCCGTAGCCATGTTTAAAAATTGTAAAAAAGTAACAGGTGAAATTAATTTTAATGATAGTTTATTTAACACAATATATCTAAAATATTATTTCAACATGCATCAGTATAAAAATTATTAATGAGACATTTTATATTTCTACCTATTAAATTTTCCAGCTCTGGTGTGCATTTTACGCTCCCAGCACATCTGACTTTTCATTGAAACACCTGATCTGTATTTAGATTTGATAACATTCATGGTTGAAAAAATAGATTTACAACCAAAGACATTGTATGCATATATGCATAACCCATGGACACAGACAATACGGTGCTGAAGACCTGGGCGGAGGGGAGGGGGGGGGGAGACGCAAGGGCTGGCTTGAGGGGTCAATGAGGGGGGGGGAAGAAAAGTAGATTTACAAACCTAAGTTGCTGCATACATACTTATGCTTTCCAACTGACTCAAATGATAAGGAAGTTAATATTAATTAAACCTAATTGAAATAAAAATATTTAATCTTTCAGTTGCACTTAACAGATCTCAAATCCTCAATAGCCACATGTGACTAGCAGCTGCCGCATCAGACCACAGGTCTGGAATATGGATTCCTAGACTTCTGGATTTGTGTCTTTGTTTTGTCCTCACTGTCTGTGAAAAAAATGGACCCCCAACCACCCACCAAGTGCTGCTCCACTAACAAGATCCTAATCTGTTCCATCTTATTTCACAGAATGCTCTGAAGATGAGGGAGAAGGTTGAGAATCCAACATCTGTGGAAGGGAAATGGGGGTTTGGCTTGGACTAGACGAGGAGTGCGGAAAATGAGATATGAGTTGGAAGTATTCCATCCTGATTGTTACTCCGTGTTCACACGAGGAGCCTGTGGTTTCCTTCCAAGCCGGGTGCGCCGGAGACTGCACGGATGGCGCACAGCACAGCTCTTGATGGCGCCATCTCCCATTTTAGCAGTTCCCCTTGAGCTCTGAGCACTGACTGAGTCCAAAACACTTGGGTGTGGCTGCTAGGTCTGGTCCTCATTTCCTGCATTGCAAAATGGGGAAGTAATCCCTTATTCGGGGGAACAATGGGAGGGAATGGGTGAAATCCCAACTGTGAAGCTACAGGGAAGGCGGAGTGTCCGTCCCAGACTTGGAGACCGTGCCCGCCTCTGCCTGTGGCTCATCTTCTGCTCCCAGCTGGGTGCTGGCAGCTGTGCTTTCAGGCCACACTCAGGCACTGATTGCCTGCCTTGCATCTGACAGATCCGTCATGGGGTGCTGGGGTGATGGAGGTTCTAGAGCCTCCTTTAGAGATGTAGAAAGAATTCCCTCCTTTGCTCTGAAGGGTCCTACATCTATTACTTGGAGGTCCAGGTGAGATCTGGTGGGATCCCCACGCCAGCACAAGGCCTGATCACCTTGCTTCCTGGCAACAGTATCTACCAGTATAGCCATTTCTAGAAATGGAGTCACACAAATGGATGATCACTCACACATACACACACACACACACACACACACACACACACACACGACACTGATGAATATGATATGGTATTGCTGTATTGCTGGCATCCCCAGACTATATGACACATTAGCTTAATATTCAGGTTGTACCTTAACCCCTCACAGGACAAGAAATGTAAAACTTAGATTTCTCCATCCCCTGTGTACAAGCCTGTCTTTCAAACCAATGTCCAGTCACTACCCAGGAGGGCTGCACGGAAATGAATGTTCCCTTGACATCCTCTGCTCCTGCCTCCTTGACACTCTCGCTTGGTGAAGCTGCCATCTTGATGTCCCTGATGAGGTCTCTGTGTACACTCGGAGCCTCCCCAGGAAAGACAGTGTGTTCTGGGAGGTAGAAACACGCAGGTAGAAAGCACTCCCCTCCGCACACACAGCACACAGCTGTCTGACTCAGCCTGTTTCCCCATCTTTAAATTAGGGAGAAACTCATGAGATTTTTTTTCTTCCATCTTAGTGGAAACTGGCCATACCTTCTTCATCCCTGTGAAAATCAGAGCTACACAGGCTCTGGCCAGCCTCTTTCCCTCTTCCAGTTAAATATCGACCAGTTAACATTCGCTTGAATTCAAACTGCATTTAACTATGAACTTAATGACTGAATTTACTAATTTCTGCAACAATACCTGGTACTTAGTAGGAGGTGGCAAAGAAATGGTTGTTCAATTGAACCTCATGGTCTCAGGTATAATTCCCATGAAAGAGACATGACATCAGAAGTGCTAGTTTTTCAGTTGCGAGGCATACGTCCAACGACTCCAAGAACATTAGTTGTGCTTGAAATAATTATTGATCTTCATTAACAGTGTTAAAAGCATTGCTCCGATGTCCAATTGCTCGTCATGCTCCCTTGGCATGCTGCACAAAGGACTTACAGCGTGGTTCTTTCCCAGGAGAGCATTATTCAAAGCAAGACATAGAAAACACATTTGGGTACAGAAAAGCTAAGTACAGACAGCTGAGCAAATAAATCAACAGTATGC